CTCAGAAATATAGACACATACAAAAAGATCCATGTTTAGAGAAAGCTCCCAAAGCTACACATCAATATTAACTGACAAAGCCTGAAGGTGAATAAACAATAATTTTAAAGAATAAAAAGTTCTTGTGTTCTTTTTAGCTTTTACAATAACATTAGTTACAAAAAGTAAACCATTTCATTTAGATAATTTGAGCTTCAGATTGTCTTTTAATGTGCATAGACAAGAAAACCAAAAAGAAATACCTTATTTTGTTTTCAATACAAAATTCAAATGATTTTACATTAATCAACATTAACCACAATATATTTATAATTCATGATGTAAATTATGATGTAAATAATAATAAAAAGTTCTAAACATTATCAAAATGCAGTTATTAAACTGACCAGAAAAACCATCAAAAGCCTTCCCTGCCCACTATGAATGATACATTTTAAACTGAATTTACATTTTAAACAAAAGAAACTTTTAGCCTAAATCTTCATAAGCTATTTATTAAGTTTAGCTTAGTTTGGCACAAGGACATAATAATTGGGGTCTCATAGAAAAAACTGAACTGACTCCCCTTACAAATTGGTCTAAAAATGAACATTATTAACCATTATATGCTGGAAAACATTTCTAAATCTAGCTGATTTCTTCAATTAAACAAATGCAAGTATTTTAAACTATTTTCAATTTTGAACAATTGAAAGAGAGCAAAAAGTTAATAGTCAATAAGATAGAGAGCGAGAAAGTGGAGGAAGTAAAACAAAAAGGGAGAAGAAAAGTTAGAGCATTAGACTGAAAAACTAGAGATAAAAGACAGAATGAAAAGTAAGAGAACAGAAAATGAGTGTCTATGTGTGTGAGAGAAAAAATCAGTTTGAAGAAAATTGTTATTGTCCAATCTACTATATCAATTCAACCAATATTACTAACATGGGTTGAGTCATATCCATTGGTACCAAACTAGATGAAGTTAGGAATAAACCAGCAAAGACCATTTCATAGACTATGCAAGGGTGTATAGGTAAAAAGAAATGAAACAAAGAAATATACATTAAAATTAATGACAACAAAACCATTGTGCTATACTTTATGGTGCTGAATCTTGGCTCATCTACAAGTGCAACCGCCAGCTTTTTGAATGCTTCCATGTGCTGTTTATGTATTATTCTTAAAAGTGCACTAGCGTGACTTCATTATAAATACTGAAGTAACCAAAAGTGGCAGGGCATTTAACATTGAGGAAATGTTGCAAAAATATTTGTGTGCTTGAAAGGAAATGTATCAATGATGGAATACTATCAATTCTAGAGCCATTACTCTTTGGTAAGTTGGCCTCTAGCAACTAATTGAAAGGTGTCACAAAAGAGGGAGTTTTTTTTTTAAAGGACCTTTTATCATAAACAAGAAGGAAAAGCTCTTAAAGTGTTTTCAAAGTTAAATCTCTCTTATTGAATTCAACTTCAGAATCAGATTAGAAGAGAAAGAAGACAGAACCATAAACTTGATGATTCCTCCTGGCACTAGTCCACCTGAAACCATTGCAGATAACCTGTCTCACCAGCTACTGCTGCATGTATAGAGTCTCTTCTAAAATACTCATTCACAAGGTCAAACTGTAGTGATATGTGTGTGTATTCTTGCATAAATTTTTGACCACTGACAATACATTTCTTTTTAAATACTTAGCTATCTTTAGGTATATATTTGATAAAGTAAGCTAATATTAGCACAAGGACATATTTATGAGTCATGTTTACTGAAAAGTCTTGAAAAATAAAAACTATAAAACTGCAAGCATTTTTCTACTTTTATGATATCATTGATATTATATTTGATGTTTTTTAAGTGTTTAAATTAAATTGCTCCTGATTTTTTATTCATTTGCTTTATGCACACATTCAAGTTATTATTTTTATCTTCATACATTTATATTGATGGCAAAATTGGCAATGATTATAATCTTAGCTTATGCCTGGCAGAGACCCACAATGCAGTTGGAGAGTGAGATGGTAATGCACCAATCTTCCAAGTTTGTGTGTGTGTATGTGTGAAGAGAGTGGGGTGGGGGTCATACAAAACAATGGCTTTATACACCAATCACTGATTTCATAGCACATCACAGAAACATTTTCATGAACATTGTCAATCTTAATTTCTGTATATATTAAACAGTCTCTATCCTCTGTCAAAGTTTTTTTTTTAAATTCATACAATAAAATATAATTGTTTAATAATTAAGACTAATTCATTACACTATAACATTATGGATAATTTTAGTTTTAAAATATATCACTATCCAACATCACCATTTATTTAATTTAGAACAGTGACCATTATTTATTTAAAAGTAACATATGGTAGAAAAAGACCAATAAAAATACAATACTCCCTAGCTTTATTTTCTTGTAGAAAAAAAGCAAATTCATAAACAAATATGGCAATATTTGGTTAGTAACAATTTCTTTCATTTGTATTTCCTTGACTTCTTTCATTCCAATTTCAAATCTGTAAAATTAACAACAAATATTTAGATAAATATTTGTTTTTGTGTGTTGGTAGTTTAATGGATATCAGTGTAAAATGCAGGATCAACAGGCAGAGTTCAAATTCCTGTCTAGTTTGTTGCATTCACTATCACACAAATGCCCCTGTGAAAGGCATGAATGCTTCTCTTCTCCTCGAAGCTGTGGACTCTCTAGCCATGGGTAAGAACTAGTGACAGGGAAGGAAAACTCTTTGTTTGGATATTTCATATCAGTCAATAAACAATTTTTAGCAATGATAAAGCAAAATATTCAATGAATCAAACAAGATAAACACATTAAATAGTTTTTATTATTATTCTGTGTTGGTAAGAACAGTCATTAATCTCCTGTTGAGATAAACGAACTTAACAGAGGAGTTCAATTATCTAAATAAAATTTAGAATACTGTATCATTTATTGCTTTTTTTAAAGAAAAGTTTTAATTAATAAAAGTAGTAAATTTAAACCTGTTTATGTTTGTATAGAAAAGATACACACCCACACCACTGTCAAAAACAACATTTTTAATGAAAAGTTTGCCTTTTTAGTTAATATTCTCTCATTTCTAGAAAAACAAATCTTTAAACTTGATCTGTAAAGTTATATTATACTGTATAAAATTTGCATCTTTAAAAGAATTGTTGCTGCTTTTATATAAATAATATTTATTCCAAATACTGTTTAGAAATTATATTTCATTGAGATTATTTCAGAATTAAAAAGAAAAAATAGAACTGAAAACTGTTTAATATAAATTTTCCTGCTAAGCTCTACTCACAAAATAAAGGTGTTTTAATTATTTATTGTATCAATTCTTTATTAGTTCTTTACTGTGTATATTTACAGCAGTAAATGCATGTAGTCAGTCAAACATTCTGAAAAATAATCATAGACTTTTATTAAAATTATTTCATAAGGGAATCAAAATATCCTTAATTCCGTTTTAGTAAATATATATATTGTAACATGATTCATTAAGTTTTAAGACTTAGATTATAGAGAGATAAAATAATATTTTGTATATATATTGTTAAAGAGGGTGGATGATTAAATGGAAGAACAGCCAATTAATGGTTATTAATGAAAAGCAGAAATTTAATAGCTTAATACACTAATTTATTAATAAGTTAAGAAAGTTTTAAATGTATATTTCTGAAAAAATATACTTGATAAGAAAGCTATTTTAAATGACACTTATTCATAAACTTTTGCCTAACTTAAAAGTTAGGACCCCTATTCAAAACACTCTGGCAACAGTTATTTAAAATAAGAAAATAAAAAGAAAACATGATTTTTAAAGATTGCTTGATGCAAAAAATTATCCAAGGAAGGCTAAAGAATGTATCTGTCAGAATATTGGGATTAAAATAACAAAAAATGAAGACAGTAACTCAAAATAAAATGTAAAATAAAAATCAAAGTAATTTTTTTAATAAAAGAATAATTGTGAGTTTCATAATTTTCCTTTAAGTGAAGTGAATTCACACAGTTGTCAATTTTTATAATTTTTTAAAAATATTTATGAATAAAGGTAAATCCAACTTTTTTTTTATGTTTGGCAAATTAGCTTCAATCATACAATAATGTTGCTTTATTAATCTAACAAGATTATACTATATCAATTATTACATATATTAACTTTCAAGTATAAAAACACAAAAATCTACTCATTTTGACCTTCTGAAATTTATAAGCTGATTGAAGTCATGTGGGCTTTATTTTGGCTGTTGATACTGTTGTTGGCAGGTATGGGTGTGGATGTGGTGTAAACCTGAATTAACACCAAATTTTAGGGAGTCAGCATAAATGAAATGGCATGCAGAATAAAAAGAAAAACATTTTAAACAAAAATTCTTTTGCAGTGTGAGACTTAATTTTTCTTTCTCAATCTTTTTTTTTTAATAACATCAAAGTAGCTTTCAATATTTATTGCTATCTCTATTGTCCCATAATAGTTGTTACATATACTGCATGAAATACATATGTAAATGTAACAATTATTATGGGATGACTAAAATTGTATATGTCATTTTGTATAAAAGCAAACAATTTTTTAGCTACTGGAAGAATGACAACAAACGTATATCATTTTCCTTATTAGTTACTTTATGTAATCAAATTATCAAAAACAGCAGTAACAAAAGAAAGAAAAAATGGTTTGTATTTCCTTATAACATCTACTACTCTCATGTAAGGCATCAATTATAAGAATTTGTGCAAAGAATTATTTTTATTGTTTTTAAGCCTTTCAGTGTTTTCTATTTTTATTTAAATTAATTGAAAATCAGGTTGTATCCTATGAAATCAATAAGGATATTAGTTGGAAAAGAATCAGTTATTTGCATGAAAATTTTGGTTATATTATGTGCGTGTATAAAATTTTTCTTTTTTTATTCAATTGTATATACCAATTCTCTAATAGCTTTCAGAGAATTGTTTTTATCAGCCATAAGAACATCAAAATTTAATTCATTGGTTACAAACTTTTGGTCTGGGTTGATTCTAGTCAAATTCTGGCAACCATTCCATGTTCTAGAATCAATTTCTGGACGGGAATATTCCCAGAGTCCAACCTTTTCTTTTTCTGAAAAATAAGAAAAAATAATTTATAAAAACTCTTTCTTATATATATATATATATATATATATATATATATATATATATATACACACACACAACACACACACTTGCACACTTATCCTTTTAAGAAATGCAAATACTTTCATTCAGATTTTCTTGAAAGCTCATATGTGTTTGATTTTGTATCCAAGATGTAAACAAAGCAATTTCTAAGCAATTAATGGATTTTTATTTTTAATCCAACATTTTTATTACTTCAAGCATTATTTTAGTGGATACCTGTATTTGATAATAGAGGCCCTGTTTTTTTAAGCAGTGGTCATTACATTTACTAGGTGTGTGCACTTGAGAAAACTTAATAAAGAAAATGTGCTCTTTTGTGGGGTTCAAGTGTACAGACTGGCAGACATAATACTTTTTCTTTTATCACTAACTAGCAGTAGAGCCCGGCGTTGCCTGGGGATATAACAGTAAGAGATAGATCAAGTATCCATCATCATAAAGACTGAAAAATAAAATTGACAAAGATTATTGTTTAAGGTTGACGGACATGCATGTCTTAATTAGTTTTTTTTTTTTTTTTACGAATTGGTCAAACCCAAACTCAAACAAAAACATTGTTTTCAATCGTTATGAGTCTCCCAATTGAATAGAATTTTATTATAAATAATTGTCTTGTAAATGGAATTTTTAAAGCATTCTGAATGTTAAAAATAAAGAAAAAAGTGTGCAAGAGAATAAGAAACACTACCTGCCAAAAAAAAAAAAAAAAAAAAAAAAAGTGAAGTTTTGTTTTATCGGCTGAAAAATATAGGAAATCCGCTGCCATATTTAAAGTAACCCACACATACAAACAACCCGATGTGAGTTGTCCCCCTTCCATTTTCACAATGTCTCTTAATCGTGTTTTCAAATTGATTTTGTGCAAAAACAATTATATTTTTCCCCTTTTTGGCACTGTTAGAAACACCACAAAGTAATTTTATGTAGTCCTGTGAAGTTTTGTTGAAATCGGTTGAAAAATGTAGGAAATCCGATCCAATATATAAACGTTACAGACACACACACAATCTGCGTTTTATAATAAGTAAGATATAAATTAATTTACTGAACATTTGAAAAAAATATGCAGTTAATGAGATTTTTTTCATATAACATGAACAGAAGTAAAAATCTGTCAAATTTAATAATTAGTTTTTTTCTAATTATTTCTAATTGAAATGAATACAGGATAAATATGGAAAAATGATATTTGGTGGAAAATTTTCTTAGTTTAAAAAGAAGAAAAAAAATCAAAAGCCAAAATGTATTTTAAGTATATATATTTTTTTAAAATTTCAAACTATGATCATGTATATTATATGGCAGCTTTTGAACCTTTTCTTTGAAAAGACACAATCTTTAAATTTTTGTTCTAAGTGAGAGAGAAAAAAATGAATAAATATTAATAAAAACAAAATGGTTGTATTGAGGAAATAAATAAATTAACAAGCCATGCATGCTGATATTCGAGTAAAAACAGAAAAGTAAACTTAATTTTCTCTTTCACTTTCTGAGAAAATAATGCATCCTATTTATTTCCATGGAAACTACAACTGCTGCTGCATTGGTTAGAAAAAAATTTCAGCTACAGAACAATTTTTCCCTCACATCATCATCACTTCTGGCTTTGAATTTTTGCCAACAATGAACAAGAGCCAGTATGACATGTTTGTAAAAATATGTACCAGCAGAGATGACCCACTTTTTCCCCAATAGCAATAATGGTGTCATTGTCAGGACAATATTGGCTGCCTTGTCCATTTTTGATTGGCTGGAACAGATGAAATTCAGAAGGTACTGGATGATATGACATATAGTAGGACAGTCTAGCTACCACTTTCTTTGTGTTCCATAATCTTTAAATTGGTGTAGGGCCAAGTTGTCTTTTTCTCTGGCCTAAATTTAGGCCTTCAAATTTTGGTCACTGTCACAGTATAATGGTCAGGGTTAATGGTTAGTCTGGGTTCCAGGAAATCCAAGTGGATCATGCATTTTCAATTCCAATAGACTATGCATACTATTTGCTAATGGTTGTGTCATTAACTTTTTCTTGATGGTGAATTTGCATGTTACTACTCTATGAACTGTCACTTTGAATCAGGCTCATAATGATGATGATGATGCAGTCTAGGAAACTGTCACTGACTAATTTGTATTTGGCTATCTTTCTGTTCTTGCATGACATTCTATAAACTTTTTGATATTCCAATATTGTTTCTAACATAGTGAAGCTAGTATTCTCTGTACACAGTTCCGTTTGTAAACTGTAGATGATATGATCAAGGTGGTCTTCATTTCATTAGCTAACATCTATGAAGAGTCACTTAGAACACTGCTTTTCACACACACACCTCTATCATCACTGCTGAAATGCACTACTCTTCTGCTTAGCTGAGCTCATGTCCACTGTTTGATCTCTGTAAATATTCAGCAAGTATCAATAAATGTTAATGAGTGCAGTTTTTTCTGCGTGAAGGAAGTCAATGATACACCACTGCTTCCTATGTATTTTCATATCAGACAACATTTTGTCAGATGACCACTTAGTTGCTACCCATAACAAAGCAAAAAATAAAATGGGTTATTGTTAGGAAGATTCAGCTTCTGCTGGCATACTACCAAAATCAGTCTCTGACAATGTGGCTCAACATTATAAAACAGGATGCATTACTTTCAGAGTAATACTGAGTGTATGTGTGCATGTGTTTGAATGCATGCATAGTTTGATAATTTACCAATTTACATGTCAGTGTGATGCTGATTATATAGTTATAAAGGATCAAATTTGGAAGCTCAACTCAACAAACATTCACAAAGGAAAAGTGAACAATTTACATAAGTGTGTAAATGTAACATGTTTAGTTATAGCTAAACATTTGACTGAAAGACAGCAATATGCTCAGTCTTACAGCCCAGACATATTCTCAGTGCTGAGCTGGGTTAATTGTTAGTATCACTTGAAAGTTTTGAAATCACTGTACATTAAGTCCTACCAGCCATCTCTTTGTAATCAGAAAGAGTGATTGGTGGGCTTAAAACCTTTAAATGTTATGTTTTTTTGTATATATGTCTTAGGTCTGATTTTTTCTTTTATAGCCACTGTGCACATTTTTGTCCTTGATTTTTGCTCTGATAAAACAGTTTAGCTGCTACTTATCAGTATTACCATTTTTAAAGTAATATATTTTTTGTTGCCCCTTCATTTTTGTTATGAATTGTCTCTTAATATGTCCACTTTTATTGCACTAATAAAGAGAGTGACTGTAGATATAGAAATCAATAGTATATGGTGACTGCTATTTTCATGCCTTAATGTGATCTTCAAACAAAGGCAATCCATCAATTCTGACTGCTACATCTAAACTCAAAGCTGAAGGTCCAAATTTCTAGACTTGGTCTGAAGATTACATTAAAGTATGAAATTGACAGTCACAATGCAATGTTGATTCCTATGTCTACAGTGTCTATATCTATAAACACTACCTCTGATACTGAGCATGGTATAAATATAGATAAATAAATATTGAACATTTTAGAAATATAAATAAATGAATATATATAAATACAGCAAATTTTAAACAATATATGTAGAGGTATATATCTCAGGGTTAAGACAATAGCATTTGAATCCTGAGACTGAATTCCAAATGTCACCATGGTTAATTTGTAAATGAAGTGACCTTAATACTGGCCTCAAGGGATGATCTCAGTGAGTGGTATCATTGGGAATTGTCTGAAAACCATACCCCAGGCTGACTCAAGCCTTGTGTGTAAAACTGAATAGATGAAACTGTTCAAAAGCTGTTGTTGGTTGTGTGAGCACAAAGTTAGAAGTCATCATGACTGAGTTTGAATGGACTGGCTTTGTTCAATTTCTGATAATATCAGATTGTACACCCAAACCAAGCAACTGCATCAAAGGTTTGCTTAGCATAGCTGCAGTATAAGTCACAGGTTCACTCTACAGGTGTTGTAAAAAAAAAAAAAAAAATAAAATGTCTAAGTTTGTGTCTGCTAAAGGGCTAGCCACCTAAGTAAATAGATGTACTTGAAAAATGAGCAGTCAGTCATTATATATTGATTGGATTTGATTTGTCCGTTTTTTGATGGGTCATTTAATGACAATTTAATTTTCTTGTGAACTTTAAAGTAATGAAAATACGATATACATTATTCTGTTTTCACAATTGAATACATGGTAGATGATACTCAACTTTTGTGCATATACGTGTTTGTGTGGACATAATTATTAGAAGTAGTGATATGTGTGTTTTATATTGTAGTTTGTTGAAGTTATATTTTGGAATACAGTTTGATTTTCTTTAAGAAATTGTAGGATATTATATAGACTAATGTCATGAAAGTTATTTTATCTTGGCTGGTTGATTTGTTTGTCAGCATATCAAACTATGCATTATTTAATGCAGAAATGCAAATATTTTGAACACAATTTTATGCTTTCAACTACAGATATTTTGTACATAACTTCATACTTTCAGAGTAAAAGTATGTTTTTTAGATATATAGTTTGTAGATCATAACATGTAGTGTTAGTAATTTTACTATAAAAATGTACTGTTGATTTTTGTTTGGGAATTCACTATTTGCCCACAGGTGGAACCATAACAGGTGCTATCACACTGGGTCAGAGTGAACCTGGGAACAACAGAAATTAAGTGGTGGTTCCATACTCCTCAAAACCTCTAATCGCCTGATCAGAAGCTTTGTTTATCGTCATACCCAGGATAGCCATTACATATATTTATTAATATATTATAATAATGTAGATGATTAAAAATTTAAGGATATAATTAAAATTATGAGAGAAATCTTTTCTGGAAAATAATAAAAATGAGATAATTATACATTAATAAAAAGTAATTTGCATTTCAAGTATAAATCAGCTGCCAGTTATTTCTACTGAGCTTATTATTGATTAGATGTGTACAAGGAGAAAAATTA